CGAGTCTGGTTGGGAAAGCTTATACGGCGGTAGGTCAGTCTGGCGTTTGTTTGCACACCATGGCTGTTACAAGCATACCAGGCTGACCTGCTCAGGGGTGGGGCTACTGAGCGGCAGCAGCCCAAGCCATAAAGCTCCTCATATCGCCAGTCTCAAAAACAGAGCGTTGCAACCCGCACCCCTCCACAGAAAGACCAGGGGTCGGGCGATGCTCTCAGTTGGGGTCTTCTAGACCAAAAACGGATCTGCGGACCGGGAGAGCTTGCCCCCTCAAGTGACGGTGCTACAGCAGTGTTACGATCTCTCCCCAGTCTAGGGTTGGGGAGTGGGAGTAACAGCTCAGCTAAAACTTATACGGAAGAAATAACGAAACGCGGAGGAATCACTCCCGTCCTCTGCTCCAGAAAAATGCAAAGGACACCACCTAGTTTGGCAAACTTTATTTAAGAAAGCCAGATTTGTGGAAGTAATAAATATCTTCAGGAGAGAGCCTGGCCAAAACAACAACCAAAACAGCAGCTGGCTAACAGGAGGAGTACTAAATAACCTATGCGAGTAAAGGAAAATAAATCAACAACATAAGCTTTCCTCAACTCCCTCACTAACCAAAAACAGGGATAAACAGGAGTACAAAATCAAATGGCACCCTCTCCCTACAGCTTCCAACCTAAGCACAATCCAAATAAACCAAAAGCAGTTACATTACCTTTTAATACCGTAACAAGCAAAGTAAGATTAAAGTAACTTTACACACACTGTATGGTTACAACACAATCAGCTAGTCAACCGGGATGCAACTCACTTGAATTACCCCCTTCAATCAACAGATGTCTCAAAGAGAAAACACCCAACACAAGTCTGGAGCAGGGGAGAAATGAGCCTCCCCAAACAGGGTTCACTCTGCTCTTTTGTAGCCGTGTTCCATCTGCAGCAAACTCTCTGATGAGCACCACCTGTGGGTAATTTGGAACTGCCCGGCAAGCAGAGAGTGAGAGAGAGAGAACATGCACAGGGGACACATAACCACACCCAAAAGGGTGGAAAAACACCTCAACAAATACTCTTTTAAATACATACATCCTAGGGATGTAACACCCCCACCACCAAAAATACAAACCATAGTTTTGTATGACCCTTACAATTTACATTAGGAAGGAGGTTATAAGGGTCAGCAAGGGAACAATTTATACTC